CAGTAAACACACTTGCCATCCTGTCGACCTAGTTTTCCCCACATGATTACGTAACCCCTTCTACCAATGTCTAAACTTCTCATGCTCATTTGAAAATATTCTTCGTTTTGCCTCTAGTTTGACTAAACCTTTTCGGATCTGGAGATGCACCTGTCTAATCGTATGCCCTGTGTAACTTGTTCCACAGGAACAGTTAAAACGATATGTACAGGATCATCATCATCGTCAATATCAACATATGACCAGGCATCACACCTCATATCAGTACATCAAGTAGGAACTTTAGTAAGGTGAAGGATGATGAAAAGAGAATGCATTCAAAAGAAATACAAAGTACGAGAAGAAAGAAAGGAAGAATGAGAAAATGGTGAGATTCGGTATAGCATCATTAGGATGAGGATAACGTATGTGGAGATGCATCTGCGCCACTGACATCGGTTCTCAGCCATATCACCTAGAGTCTCTAGCTACTGGTTCCTCTTGTCCAGCAGACCCCAACCACCTAGTCTGCATCGACCCACATGGCTCAAACCAATACTCAGAGACTTGATACATAGATGCCATGTTTTAGTCTGACCACCTCAGGCCTTTCTCCAGCCTGGACTTACTTCAGCCAACATTGTGTGACGAAGCAGTCTGTGAATATGCATACATAGTACGTGTCCCAACCAACCATCTCAATCGATGAAGGTTCATAACTTCGTCAAGTGATTTACCTCTACTCTCTAAAACTCTATACATGACTTGTGCATTACTCACGTGGTGACACCACGTAATACGGCCTAGCCTATAATACGAAGGTGATGGTGGTCAAACACTTGAAGCTTTCTCATATCTTCCACTTTCAATGGGCATGTTTCACAGCCATACAGCAGAACAGACCGGACTGCTGTGCAGTAAACTCGACCCTTAGTAGACAAACGGATATCACGGCGGCGCCATAGGTGGCGTAAGTTGGCGAAAGCTAATCGAGCCTTTTGTATCCGTGCAGAGATCTCATCGGCAACTAACCCACCAGGGTTGATCCTACTTCCTAAGTAAGTGAAGTGGTCAACACACTCAACCACTTCACTCTCTATTGTTAGCCGTGGTACCGCTGAAGAACAGTCCTGGAGCAAAGATTTGCATTTGTGTGGTGAGAACCGTATCTCAAACATTCTTAAATTCTTACTCAACATGTCTAGAAGGCTCAGCATCTTATCAGCCTCTTCACCTTACAGGACTATGTCATCTGTATATTCTAAGTCTAACGAAAATTCTCCTGTGATTAGGTCAACCTCTGTGTAATCAGGTGACGAGAGGGAAACCTCTATAAGAATATCTATGATGAAATTGAATAAGAATGGAGACAATGTACAAGGTAAAGAGCTAAGATAAGGCAGGCTATCTTTTAGGCTCCGACTGAACATTCGTTTAATGTTGAAAGACAAATGAGGATGACCTGAATAAAAAGTTGTGAGAAGAGGTCACTTAAGAATGTCTCTCTTGAATTACCATAATCACTTTGTTTCTTATTTTCATAATGTTGACTAGTATCATAAGACACTGCATTTAAAGTATGGTACGTTTGGTCATAGAGATTATTCACTTATTTGTTCCGATTGTAGGTAGCTGATGAAAATCGTATGGATGAAAATGACGTCACCTTAGTAGGTAAATCTTCTGAGTGGGAATTCATTGTGGGTTGACATCATTTGGAGGAACATTGGAAACCTGAGGGCAATGGAAAGAAGCTGTTTCTCCCTAGTACAGGGCTTCTTAGCAGTGCGAACACATGATCTAGTCTGCCAGGGCTCGAACCCAAGACCTTGGGGGTTCCGCGGCCAGCTCGTTGCCAATGGTCCAAAGTTGTCATTGATTAAGCGTCCTCATGTCCAACTTAGTTTACTCCACTGGTCACTTCTCACTAAAACTTCAGGAATCACCTCTCGAAGCTAATCATAAACTACAAGTCATATTACTACAAAGTACACGGAGTGCCGCAAATGTTCATCACCTTCATTCAACAGCTATATGACTACGCTACATGCCAAGTGAATAACAATGGAAGTCTGAGTGATGCCTTTAAAGCGAAGTGAAGTGCAGACAGGAGTAAGACAAGTTTGCCGCTTACTATCACCGATGATCTTCCTGATTATCGTCGACTCAACTCGACTGGATCATACAAAAAACAACTGTGAGGAGCGAGAAGATGGGCATACGCTGGCTGGACCGATGAAAAGACTACACGATTTGGATTTCGCTCATCATGACTTGAGTCTAATGTCTTGTTGCACAAACTCGAAGATGTACAGGCGAAAACTAACAAGTTTGCAGAAGGGGGGAGACGAGACAGTGAAGACATGATTTCTTTCAGGTGAAGACAGAGAAGACAGAGATGATGAAGATATCCAGGCAACAACAACGACAACAAACGCCAATCACCGTGAACGGGAGAAATGTGAAGGAGGTTGTCTCTCTTACCTACCTTCCTAGCCAGCGTCGCTTCAACTACAGGCGACACAGGTATAGATGAGGACGTCAAAGTCAGGATCAGAAGGACAGCATGAGAGGTCTTCGTTAACCTGAAATCAGTGTGGAGATCTACTACAATTCACTGCACTACATTCAGGATGAACAACAAGATCCGGATTTTGAACACTAAGTTCAGAGACTTGGCGCGTTACTGAAAGAATTTCCATCAAACTACAGATATATATGAACAACTGACGCCTATACTCACTCAATACTGAATATCAAACATGAAGAAGAAAGTGGAGATGGGTTAGGCATACACTGAGAAGACGGTTTGGGGACATCACGTGTCAGGCCATTGAGTGGAAGCCAAATGGGAAACGAGTTAGACGTTTGAGGATGACATGGAGGAGATCCTGTGAAGAAGAATTGGAAGGCTATAGGCAGTTGTAGATCCATGTTAAAAGGGAAGACTTCAGAGAAGAAAGTGAAATGACCACTTGCTATTGGAGCTGTATGTTCCACTAGGAACCCAAAAGACGAATAATAATAATAATACACGTTAATGACAGACTTCTAGATGGATATTCCAAAGATTTAATCCGAAGTCATGACCTGTAGCGTCAACCAGTTGGAAGTGAAGAGGACGTCAAATGAAGTTCATGGCACATAGTTGGTTTATCGCGCTAACTGACACGGGAAAGTAGGAAATTGTGAACCAACGAACTTCTACCTTGTGGCTGGATAGCTAGTGCATTTTCCGCGAGACCTCAAGGTCCTGAGTTCGACCCTGACAGATTGAAGTCGTGGCTCTATCATGGATATTACCTTAACATTTATATAAACAAAGTATTTTCCACCCTTTCAGGTTGAAATATTTCACCTTTTGATCTATCTTTTCATTTCATTATGGAGTTTAGTGTCTCAGTGTTGGTGTACATATTAGGTTGGATTGTATCTGTTAGACAGATAATTGGTATAATCTAGTTCGGAATCCTAGTGAGAATCAAGCAATTATAAACCAGTTATTGTCACTTACTTTCTAACTAGTTTTAAGTCAATCTACAGAAGTCAGTAACACCTAAGTAGACGTTTCATCATAAAATCATCGCTTGTGCCTGCTTACTTCATAAAGTGAAGGGAATGGCATTGACATGTGAACGAGTAGTCAATATAAGTCGAGTTTATATCGACCCCTTTGTGTGGATATTTCTACTAATTGCCGGGCCATTACTATCAGTTGTTTATAAAGTGGAAACTACTACAAATTCACTGGTCTAAGGAGTATACCTTATGATTAAGGTTAAAGTACTAGTCATTGCAGGAACAAAGATGCAGATATATGCTCATTTTAAGTGTGAAAAAAGACAGTATACCCGCTCTGGCATCCATCCAGCTTCGTAAACTAGAAGTAATAGCAATACTAATAGTAGTAGTAGTGTTTTGAGATGCACAAAAAGTGTGTGTATATGGATAACGATCAACAAATTTGTGCTTGTCAGTCAACATTTCATAATTAAAGTCCGTTGTCCATTCACATTTTTCGGAAAATAAGTTAGGCAAATAACAATGGTAGATACATTAAGAATAGGTGAATTAATGGCAACTTTGGCCTTCGATACACATGGTTTACGGTAAGAATCATCATATTTCTGAAGAAATTTTCAAAGATTTCAGGCATTTAAGTTGTTTATGTAACACTTTTTAACCCATTAGTAGATGTTAGTTGGTCGGAGGCAATCGGCAGGAGGTCCTGCTTTTTGGCACTGGTCAGCAAGGCGTATCTGCAACCTCGAAGGAACTGATGTCCAACTAACATCTACTAATGATGTGCACCGCGATGCTGAGCTTCCTAGCTTGGTTGGCTGATTGCAAATATGATCGATAGAATTTGGTCTACACTCAGGACTAGACAACATGAAATTGGTTGTACGTCGGTGACCAATCAATACTTTTTACCTCATATGTAAGGGAGATTTCTTAAACACTTTATACTTTGTTTATTGACACTTGTAATTTCCTTTTACAATACCTGGTGAAATAAATCAACCTCTGTTGGTAGGTGGATTTCTTTACGTTTGTCTTGACACTCTCAGAATATCCATCATGGATTTTCATCCCACTTGGGACTCATCAGTTGGGTATACCTGCAGATCAATGATTCAGTAGGCATTTCTCCACACAATAGGTCAATGTCATATGAAATTCACCTCCTGGTTTCAGATATGTCTTCATCATGAACTGAAATCATTTGGAGAAACATTAGAAATCTGAGAACAGTGGACAACAGCTGTTTCGTTTCAGTGTAGGACTCTTTAGCAGATGTGTGTGAATAATATATGACTTCATCTTTCCAGTCTTTTCAGACAAAACCATCATATAAGGCGGTAACACTTCTAAACAGTCTGTTCTCCTTTTGATTATCGTTGATAATGAAACAGTATTAGATTCTTTTGACCTTGAGCCAGGCTTAAATGACCTTGAAGGGAACAATGAAATAAGCAGTTCATAACAATGTTCAATGAAATTTAAACAAACTTACTCACTTTTTAATTTTTCCATCGATTGCAGCTTTTTTTAGTATAGCTGCTTTATTAATAACTGCACCATCATCCATAACAACATGATGTTTTGAACAAATCCAATTAATTCTGGATCCATACCATAAAATGGACTAGTTGGATCATAACTTTTTATTTTATTCATTTCATTTTGTTCATAATTATTATTATTATTATTATTATCATTAGAATAACCACTTATATCATTATTGATAAGATAATTTCCAGTCATATTTTTATCATTGTATATTGGAAAAACAGAAGTTTTGGAATGTTTTTTATAGAAATTATCATTTTCATCATTATTATCTGTATTATAATTTGTATATTCATAGTTTGTATTTGGATAATTAAATTCTTGTTTTAATGTAGACATTTTAGAATCTGTTTAAAATGAATAAATATTTAAATGATTATTTAATGAAAACTTACATCTATATTACAAAGTCACTTACTTCATTCTGATTGGTTAATTTATTTATTGTACTCATCAAGGTCTGCCCGTTACTATAACTACAGGTGTTGTAAACTGAATTTCTATTGGTCAGTATTATTTTACACAGGGTTAATAATCGATAATGACTCATACCAAGTAAATAATATGCATAATCTATATGTGTTATTTAAAATGGAGGTCAGTGAATAGAATACAAAATTTTGTTTAAGCTCACATCTATGCATAAAGAAAACTTGTATACTCAAGTGTTTTTATACAATATAGGTCAATAAATCATATATCAGTAGTTTTTCCTTCAAAAAAGCAAGAATAAAGTTAATCAGATCAGGAGATGATACCAGTCTCAGAAGCTTCTGGATGGAGAGTTTTTGAGATAATAGGAATCTGTGGTTTAAAACTTTTGGTAACAATGTTAGAAAATCGGGTATAATGTAGAGATATGTTAATTTTCTCTTTTCCTTTCTTCTCCTGTCACCTACTAGACAGAGGTAAACATCAGGTTTAAGCCTTTGATATTGCTAAAATAATAACCGTCGAGAAAATGTCTGGATTATTGAGTGAAGAAGGACAGTGTGGTCACTCATTCACTCCCTTGGTGATTACGATTCGATCCTGTTTTATGGTTATTTTACAACTTCATTTATTACCTTTCTGTATGATTATTTCTATTTATTATTATGTTGTTATTTATCCTCTGGGTTCCTAGTGGAACATACAACTTCAGTTGCACGTCTTCATTCCACTCTCTTCAATCCTTTAAACCTGGCTCCACGTCAGCCCACAACCTCTCATTTCTTCCTCATGCCATCTCCTACATGTCACCCTCACCACGGACACCCAACTTATCCTTTCCCATCTGAGTTCCACTAGACGGTCTGGCGTGACGCGTATTGTCACCGAATGGTCTTCTCAGTGGATGCCCAATCCAATTCATCTTCACTTCCTTCTACTGCATATTTGTTCAACGATGGCTTCTTGGTTGGTTCATCACCAGCCAGCCAGAGTGACTTCCTTGTTGCTTATTCTTATTATTCTGCACATCTCATCTGATCTTCAGTAACGAGCCAGTGTAGGCAGTTGTTGATGAAAATCTGTAGTTTGTTGGAAATGCCTTTCGTAAGGCGCAAAGTCTTTCAACCATCACATAGAAGCACTGACTTGACTGAATTAGTGTTGAAAATCCGGATGTTGTTCAAGCTTTATGCTGAGAGCAGTGCAGTGCAGTGCAGAAGATCACCACACTGGTTTCACGTTAATGAAAGCGTGTTTCTCCGATCCTGGTTTTGACTTCCTCATCTGTACCTGTGCCGCCTGTAGCTGAAAGAATGCTGCTTTGATAGGTGAAAGTGACGACTTCCTTCACATTTCTTCTCCTGATGGTGACTGGTGTTTGTTGGTGGTGGCACTGATTGTGTATCTTGATCACCTCCGTCTTCTCTACGTTCACCTGGAGTCCCGTCTTCGCTACCCTGCCTCCTTTGTCAACTTGTTAGTTTTCTCCTGTACATCTTTAATTTCGTGAGACATTAGACACATGTCATCGGCTAAATCCAAATCTTCTAGGATCTTTTCCCCAGTTTAGCATATCCCCATCTTCTCGTTCCTCATAGTTTTCTGCATGATCCAGTCCACTACAATCAGGAATATCATCCGTGATAGTAAACAGCCTTCTCTTACTCCTGTCTTCACTTCACTTCAAAGGTATCACTGAGCTTCCCACTGTGAATTACTTGGCATGTGGCGTCTTCATATAGTTGTTGAATGAGGTTGATAAAGGTTTGTGGTTTCCACAGTGCTGGAGCAGTTCCCAAATTACTTCTCGGATGCCTCTGTCGAAGGCCTTTTCAAAATCGATGAAGTTGAGGTGAGGTAGAGTTGAGTTGACTGCCATTCTATGCTCACCAACCGGCGTCATTTCGCCTCTCCGATTCCAGCGAGAAATAAGTTTGTCCTTATTTTTTAAATTTTCTCTATACTTTCAAGTTTTTGTAGCGATTGGATTGGTTTTACGGTATAGGGTTGTTAGCCCTATGCCCAACCTTCCAACCTTACCCGGTCTTACGATAGGCTGGTAGTAGTTTTAAAAATTTTCATCATGTAAATTAGAACAAGAAATAAATAAGCGAACAATATTGTTTTCCATTAAATCCTCTTCAGGCTTTACTTTATCACAAATAGCTTAATGTATATAGAGTCAAACTAATCGTGTAGATTTGTCAGTTGATGTGATAAATATTTCAAGTTGTTGTTCATTGTAGACTGACACCAGTTGGAGGAACAAAGGAAACCTGGAGGCACTGAACAGCTGTCCGGTCCTAGTGTGGGACCCCTCACCAGTGTTCACCCACGACCCCGCCAGGGATCGAAGCCGCGACATTCAGGTTCCGTGGCCAGTACGTTACTATTGAGCCACTGGGTAAGAGCCCAATGTTCCATATTTCCAACTTCTGTTAGCTCATGATATAGCACAACCGCTGCCTACTGTCATCGTTGAGTAACTGTCGTCACAACCATTGGGCTTTCCCCCCACCGGTCGAGACTTCTCATTGGAACTTCAGGAATACCACTCGAAGCTAGTCACCAATGAGTACCAGTTCAATTGAATTTTGATGGAGTTGTGAGGATTTGGAAATATCTCAAGTTGCTATTCATCGTAGATTGACATCAGTTGGAGAAGAACAAAGGAAACCTGAGAGCAGCTTGAAATATTTCCGAGTCCCCGCAACTCCCTCAAAACTCAACTGATGTGATAAATGTTTAAAATAACAATGGAGATTATAATACAAATGATAATAATAATAATAATAAAGTGATAACATTGACTAAAGCACAGGCGATATACATGACGATAATGATGATGATAAGAACTAAGAAAGTAGCATGAAAATGTAGACACTCCGATAATCAAAATGGGTCAAAAGTTACGTAATACTGAAAGACGAGGTAAGTGGACAAACAAAGCCTAGACAAATACTTTGAAGTATACGAAAGGGGTGAAGAATAAGGAAAGGGGTGGGGAAAAAAAGCAACAACTTAATGATAAAGTTAGTGTTACTGCTTGTACTATATCATCATTGATTGGACCGAATTGATCGGTCTCTATCGGAATATGGGCTCCTGTGCGGATGCCTCGATATACCTGTGTAGTGCTAGTTCTAGTAAAGATGAATAGTGGCTAGCAGTGGAATCCAGGATGCGCATTTCGTCCTATTTGGGACTGGTCAGCTGGATGTACCTGCCTCGCACTGAGTGATATTGTCCCCTATTCTGAATCCCGGCGGGAACTACATTACTCACTGGGAGGCAGGTATATGCACCTGAACAGTCCCAAATAGGACGAAACGCACATCCTGGATTCTCCTGCTAGCCACAACTAACCAAACTGTCACAGTTAACGTTGAGGTAGATGAATAACAGCCTGAAACGAATGACTTTTCAAATGACTTTCAGCGACCAATCAGAAGCAACGGCTGTTCAGCAATCATATCATGAGATGTTAAATTGGCAACTTTTAGGTGAAAAGTTGGGATGATGAATAATAAAAGCGCGGAAGCAATCTGGATACTTTCCAAATTTTTACTTGTGATTTTAATGGAAAATGATTCAGTTGTGATGTATGTAATCATCGAGGCGATAAGTTCTTCATAAGATCTATAAATTCTGAATGATGGTTATACAGTTATGAATGTAGCGCAGTTAATACTACTAAGATTATAATTGACTGATGAATATCCCACTGAATTTACATACATCCTTCAGTGATATCCAAACTGAGGTGCAATGATGAAGCAGAACAGACACTTTTAAGTCGTCACGTGACCAGGGCTTTCAAATAGCAAACTTATTTGAAGGTCATCAGATACCCAATATATCTCCACCAATAAATTCGAAGGATATAAGTGACCAATCAGGAGAAGGCCCAAACTTAAAAAGGTGGATATACACCTAAGGTATTTATCGATTCGGGAACGTAAGTTCCAGAAAACTTCCAATTTGACAAAAGTCATTGATTGCAACTTGATGCCGAAAAATAAAACCAAACAAGTTTAGGATGAGCAAGAAAATCTACCCGTTCCTCTACGGTAAATATTCTGAGATGTTTCACATTTCCCATAGAAATGTAAGTGACCTTCTTCGGTCTGATGAAGCTGTGAATATTGCGTAGGCGTTCATTACTAATCACTCATTGGTTAATATAATGCGTGACACCTGTGATTGGTTGTTCAAAGTCGTTCATTCATTCGTTCATTTACAGTGATGCAACATTACTGATTGGATAGCGTTTCAGCAATGAATTATTGTTCGTAATCCAACAGCCTTCGATATCTGAGTTTTGTAGTTATATCACTTGTGTATTCTTTGCTCTCACACATACCCACCCTCTCAACATATACTACTTATATCCATTCTTATCAGCAACGCCCACCACACTCGTTCCTCTGTCAAAATTTTGGACTCGCAGCTGTGTTCATCCTCTTGGTGTTCATGCGAAGCATTTAAACTGTCTGTTGATATTCATTCGAAGTGCAGCCGCCTTCTCCTGAAGGTTCTCGGTTTGTTTTTTCCAGTTGTTCATCTCTGGTGGTGCAACCGCAGCTACTGCTGAATCCATTAACTGTCAGGTCACCTTCGCCAGCTCACTAATATCCACAGGTTGGGCTGCGTTCACTAGTCGAAGCTGATGGACAGTGACATTTGAAACATTTTCGATGAACTGTGCAGCCAGCAACTGTGTGCGGTAGTCGTCATCCAATGCGGGAAGTGCTCTTTGAAGTAGTTTTGTCAACTTCACAACCAATACCAGGGGATCTTCGTTTATTCGAAGTTTCATACCCCAGAACTGTGCCAACTACCTGTCCACTGGGCTGGCAAACTCCACATCCGGGCTTCCAACCATTTTCTGCCAAGTGTCCTTCCCATCCCCATG